GTGTCAAAACATAATATAAATAAAATATAAATGTGTTACAGACTTACAGTATCCATCATTCTGTGTTTTTAATACTTTTTATAACATACATAAATTACTAAATTAGTAATATGAAGATAATATGATGAAARGTAGTATAATATTATCAATTAAAATTATTCAAATTTGTGATTCAATATTTTAACGTTTGGAGCGCCAGTTCTCGGTTCTACTTGTTGTGATARCAAGGAAWMTCGAAGAGTCACTTTATTATGCTTCGTTGTGCAACCATATTATCTTTAATCGTGGTATAAATTATGCAAAGTATAAACCTGCCTAATGAAAAACCCTGCTAGTGCCACTATTAGGTTCTCTCGAATGTTACCATCTTATAGAAAATTGGGTATTCATTTTTTAATTCTAAAATTAATCATTAAAAAATATAATATAGTTTGTAATGTGTGCAATCAATAATTTAGAAATAAAATAAAATTAGAAATATTATGCTATTATTACATAAAATCAAATACATACATCTAGAAAACTAAAATATATTAACACATATATTGAAATTATGTTGGAATTATAATGTCAACTTAAATAAGCTTCATCCATTTTTTTAAATTTTTCTATTAAATCTTCTGGTACATCTATGTCATGGAAGTTATCTGTTCCTATTTCATCTTCAGTTCTAGAAAAATAAAAAGCAAATTAAGCAATTCAATATTTGCTAAACACAATATAATTTAAAATTGAGAATAATATGTTAGATTTAATTAAGTTAATATCATACAATATAGCCTTAACTTTATTTTTAGGTTTTGAGCAGAGCAAAAAGCATATTGATTTTAACAGTATGTGAATTTTTTTTATGTATACACAATTTATAGTAGAAAAAATGTAGTCTATGCAATATAACAATTGAGAAGAGGGTTTCATAGAAATGTTAGATACAGTTGGTGTGTTCAAGAAGTGTGCAAAATTGAAAAAAAAAAAATTAGAAATTTGTACACAAAACTAGTTTTTAATAGTCACTATAGTTCAAAAATAAATAACTCTAGAATTGAAATGTTCACAAAATTTACTAGATATAAAATTTTGAATTTTTTTCCTGCTTTGGACGTTTGAAATTTTTGTTTGTAGCTAACATTTTTTAGATGTTAAATACTCACTTAAAATAATGATTTCTCATTCAAAACATTTTTCATATTTTGTTTTAACTCAAAAAATATTCATCACAGAAACTTGAACCTTCCACTCATAGATAAATTATAATTGTCTAAGCTCAATGGCATCTTTAAAATGTTAAGATCAAGTTTAAACTAGGTTTATAAAATGTTTAATTTTTTTTTCTACTAACGGTGATATAGCATATTAACATTGTTCAAAAAACATAAAAAAATGAATAAGTCACTAGATCTCACATAATTAGTTCTTATAAGCAATTATATTATATAATATTCAAAAATATCAAAAATACAAGAGCTAAAGTATTTATGAAGTTAAAAATTAATAAGATTGAAAAATTACGATTTTTATTGTTTTAATTACATTAAAACAATAATATTTGTAGAAACTTTATTAATGCTTGTAATTTATATAATTATTACATAGAAAGATTTTCCAAAATATTTAGATTAAAGTTAAGATATTGTATAATTATACTCATTTATGGCAAATAGATTAGATATTGACTCATAAGTTAATTATAGATATATGATATAAATATATATACACTATTATAATTAATAATATGTTAAAAATGCAATTATATTTTTTAGCATAAATTAATCTAAGCTAAATAATTATATTAAAAAATAAAATATACTTCATAATACATACAGACAGACCAATCCCACTCTGAATAGTTTTTAGTATACAATGATTTATTATTGTATTCAAATTTAACAGATCTGTTGCAGTGATCTACTCCGGTGGTGCGCAACCTTTTTTGATCCACGACCCCCGAAAATAATTTATTTTTTAATATGACCTCCCTTCTTACCAACATTATGTAAGTGTGTAATATAAATTTACTTAATAGTCTTAATGTAAACACACATTTTATTCATATACATTGAATTGTGAATTTTAGAGCAATTTTAATATTTCTCTAATTTAATTAATCAAAAACATGAAAAAAAAAAAAAATACAAAATTAGAGTTTTATAAAATCTAAAGTTAAAAAATGTATCATTATAATGATAATCAAAAATTTTAATATTTTTAAAATTATAAAATGACTATTTAATTATTTTGATGAGAGACCTGAGCTTGCATTGTAGACATGATTGATTCTATGTTTGGTTTGATATTTGACACTGCCACTCTTAAATCAGCTTCAACATTTAATCTGGAGCGATATTTGTTTTTAATKATCGTTAGTGTTGAAAATGCTRTTTYGCATAAATAAGTTGATGCAAAAGGAAGTAAAATTGATATGGCTTGTTTTGATAATTCTGGATATTCAGATTTGATGGAAATCCAAAATGTGTTACATGCATTTTCTTGAAATCGAAAACGTAGATTTTCATCTGATGACAAGTCAATAAGTTCTTCGCTTATTTTTAAATTTCCTAACTTTATTTCATTGATATTAAAATGAAATGGATTTCTTATCCAACCTAGACTTTCTTCTGGGATATCTTCAAACCGTGCATTAAAGTTTGTTTGTAAACTTATTAGATGAGTAGTTATAATTTCTTTTATCATATTAATATCCACATCATTATCACTGAGGAATTCTGATAAACATGAAAACATTTAAAATTTGTCATCGTCGATATAATTTTTCCACAAAAGTTTTTTTTTTAAAAGCATTGATTTTATCAGAAAGAAATAACCCAGAATTGCAAGCCATTGCTCGTCCAAAAAATGTTCCGAAAGTTTATTATTACGTTCCAGAAGAAAAATTTGTGCTTCATCTCTGAGTTCAAAAAGGCGTGATAATATTTTACCACGAGACAACCACCTTACTTCAGTATGAAGAAGCAATTTTTCATGGTCAGAACTCATTTCATTGCGAAGTATAAAAAAAAGTCTGGAATTTAATGACTGATTTTATAAAATTTATTACACTTATAGCATTAAGGAGTACTTTATTAAGATCTGTTTGAAGTTTTTTGGAGGCTATGAATCATACAATGGTTAAACATTATACTTGAAGACATTTCTAGAACTTTAGCTTTAAAACCTTTTTTTGAACCAGTAAGGGCAGCTGCGCCCAGGGCCGGCTCTAGTTTTTTCAGCGCCCAGTGCAAGTATTATTTCGGCGCCTTTCGCCCTGTTTTTAAATATATAAATAGGCAACCGTATGCCCCCTTGATTTTGGCGCCCCTGTGCCATCGCACACGTCGATCGTGTATAAAGCCGGCCCTGGCTGCGCCATCAGTGCATATTGACACACACATTGACCAGGGAATTTCATTACTTTCTAAAAAATTGTTTATAAGAACAAAAATATAATTTCCAGTCGTACGTCCTTCTAATGGTTGACAAAATAAAGTCTTCTTCAATTTTATCTTTATAAATATATCTAACATATACAAGAAGTTGAGCAAGATTAGTTATATCCGTAGATTCATCTAATTGCATTGCATAATAATTTCCTCGTAATTTATTTAGGAGTTGTGATTTTATATTATCAGACATATTTTCAATTCGACGTGACAGTATCTCTTGATAAGGGAATCATTTTTAATTCATTTGCATATGATTCGCCATGCATAATTGAATAATTGATACTATTTTTATAGCGGCTGGCAAAACGAGAGATTCACCAATAGAGTGTGGTTTTTTGGTTTTAGCAACCCCCAGGTTGCGCACCACTGATCTACTCAATGACAAAGTTTATTCGACACCTTATGTATTTCAGAGGGAGTATCTACTTGTCATTTTTTAATTATTGATGTACAATGTTATGCTACTATATAAAGTGTATCACATCTGAATATATTCTCTACCTGATGAATGTTTTAAACTATTCAAAATATATCAAAGTTGAAATTAATAATATAGACTATTAAATAATGAAATGTAAAATTGAATCAGCATTAGATATTTGTTTTATGTTTTATTTATTTGATAGTTACAACTAATTAATATGCAAGTTTAATTATATTATAATTTAAATTAAGTATATACTCTATTTAGAATAAGAATGGAAATCGGCGGAAACATCATGCTTCTCATACCAAGTTAACGCTCAAAGCCAATGCTTTAGAATAAAGCCACGTCTCCACACATAAGGTATAAGGAATAAAGTATAAATATTTAGTACATAAAATAAGCGATAGCATATTGTAATGGTTAACCTTTTGAGTGGTTGGCTATACAAATTAAGAGAACAAACAATTAAAAACATTATATACTGACTTGATTAAAATGTCCACTAAATTTTCACATACTAATTTCAATTCCATATTGGGTTCCCATTTGTGAAATTCTCTTAAGATAAGATAAGTTCCTTGATCTCTGATTATTTCTCTGCAATTTCTTTTAGCACTCAACTTTAAGCATAATAAATTATATCAATAATCAGTTAAAGGATTTCTTATCATTTCAAATTTGTTCATATAACAATTAACCTGAGTCAAAGCTTGTAACAATGCCAGACGTAAATCTGAATCTGGTTCACGTTCTTTATCATCAGAAAGATATTGTAAATCTAATGGTAGTTTTTCATTGTCCTCTTCATCAAACTGCTCAGGGCCAGCTAGTGGTAAGAGAAGGCGAGGTAACAAATCTAGATCTTCACTTAACAACCATTCATGTCTTTCTAAACAAATCAAAAAAAATTAAATAGATACTAAAATTGTTTATGATATGACATGTAACTTTAGATAAGAAATTACCTAATTCAAAGCAACAGTTTTTTATAGTCATGATAACACCAGCTCTTCGAAGTGAATTGTTTCCATTTAAAAATGGAAATAATTTTTGAAAATTATCAGTATTCATTAACCACCTAAATACAAAGAAATTAATAAAAATTATAAATTGAATAGGTACATATGTTTAACATAAGATATCTACTTACATCCTTACTTCATGTAACTGACATAAATTAGATAATAAATATGAAATATAATCATAATTTGTTTCATGTTCTGCATCTCGAGTGATAAATAGCTTCATAAAAGATTCTAATGCTGTAGTTTGATCTCCAAATGCTTCATATACTTGAATAGCATGATTTTTTTCACGAGTCAGGTTGCACAATAGCTTCAGTACTGAACTTGCAATTTCTGGCGTCTTTTGATCAATATATTGTATAATTTTTGATATGATTCCCTGACAAAACATTCAAATTAAAAATTACTGACATAAGTTTCCTTTTAATCCATAATATACCAAATTGTTTGAATTGTTGTTACTGTTTAAAAATGACATTATTTTTTTCAGACCATTTTCTCTTGACGAAATATTGACCAAACACAAACACGCCACGTTGGCATTGGCTCTATCAGTTTCCAAAACTTTGAATAGACCTTTGAGCAATTCGTCAATATTATCAATGATTATTTTATTTTCTTTGTGTTTGTCAGCCGTCACCACTTAAAATAAAAAACAGTAACATTTTTATAACGGTTTTTAAGAAACCCAAATACCACTATACTTACATAGTAGATATTGTAGAACGTCACTTTTTAATTTGGGGTCGCCACCATCCACCGTCAATGAGTGGACCATAACAAGCAATAAATGATGGGGTATCTCCGAATCCATAACCGATGTTGTTTTTAAAAATAAAAATATATTTTTGTCGGCGTCAAATCAAAGTAGGTAGTCGAAACACAATTAACAGGTGTGCCGGTGTGAGACTGTTAGATTATACTATTTATTACAGTATATTAGTGCATCAGCCATCAGGATAATAATCGTCTGAATAAAATTAACCGACGGAAGTAAAAAGAAAAAGATGACGTGAACCGAAACCTGTTAACTGTAAGTTGTAACTTGTATAGAATATAGCTAAAATAACTTATAAGCAGTAACAACCGTCGACAACACTACACTACAACGACTAAGTAATTTGCTGTAAATCTATAAGACTGTATAACAACATTAACAACTATAACACTCATAAATCATAAAACCTCTAACTTATAAGTTATAAGAACTAAGAAATAAAGCCGTGTGCCGTGGTCCGTGGACCGTGGTGAACTTACCTTTTGTTTATGATAACGTTACACGTGCTCGTTATCAGCGTTTACAAATTATTCCATGAGATATCGTAGGCGCGATTCGTTTCCATAATTTTATTATTCTTATCGGACTCACGGAAGATAACCGCTATCGATCGATTGGTTTTAGAGTTCAACAGTAATAAACTAATAACTACATGTCAACATTTCATAATTCCATCCAACGTTGTTAGTTGTTACTCAACTCTAGTCTTTTACTCTCGTCTCACTAGTGAACTGCACTATAATATCTTAAGATGGAAAATATGTTTAGTACGTCCGGAGAAAAAGAGACTGATGAAGTGAGTTTGAATATTTTATGCATACGTACCGTATTAATATCCGTGCATCTTTTTCTGTTTGGTGTCGACTGTTGTGCTGTTGAACGACTACCTAATTATATAATATATTATATAATTAATTTTATATTTTTTACGCCTGTCGAAGTGTCGACGATATATTTTTAATGAATATTATTTTGAATAATGTCAGTGTCCAAATTGTCTTTGTATATTGTTTAACGAGATTTTCGTCAAACTGTTGTTTGAAATGTTTGAACATCATTGCGATTTGTATTTGGTCGTAAATCAGAAAATATATAATAAATGATATCCATTTCTCTTACTTTTCTTCAAACTTTTATTATGCACTTTTTGTATTGAACAACTTGTAATTATATATGCAATTATATCGCACAAATGACCAATTATTTAAATGATTATAAAGCGGAGAACCTTTTGCATTATATATGTATATATTTTTAAAAACTATTCATATTATTGTTAATACATATATTATGCTTATAAATTTTTTTTGTAATTTTTTTATTTAAAATATCTATTTGCATAATTTTCGTTTTGTCTAAATACATTTATTGAATGTTCTATACAATATTATTTTTCCTAAGAGTATGTCAGCGCTCAGTTTGTTTTCTCTCTGGGCCATACGCAACATAGATGAAACTCATTTACGAATTCATTAATTTTTTTAATGGTTTTGAGTAAAATCAATCATTAAAAAAACAATAGAGAACAATATTTTTAAGGTATTGACTATTGACATATCGATTTGTCTAAATATTGTCTCAAAATAATTAAATATAATTTTAAATTTTCAAACATTTTATTTTATGTTTTGAAAATCGAATAATAAGTCAAAAAATAATAATTATAAAACTGGTTATGACGTCATACCCTTAAAAATATTATCCTCTATAACTTGTTTAATAGGTAACTTTACTCTAAGATTTCTCAAAAACCATGGAAAAAGGTTTTTGATGAAAGCGTTTTATCCATGTTACGCGTGGGTCTAAAAAAGAAAACAAATATTGCGCTGACATCCTTTTATGATACGCTTATAAATTATAAAATATTTAATAATACTAGGTAGTAGGTATTACACAGGTTATTTCATTAATAGATTATTAATATTTCATAGACAATTTGTATTTGATTATGAATCATAATAAATTGATTGTGGTGTTTTTTTTTAAAGTATGTAACAATGTAGGTACTGGGACGTTTACCTTGAAAAATTGATTTTAGGTTTGTAAGATATATGTTATTGAAAACGATTGCATAACAGTTAATAACGTTTACTCTTCCTCAACAATAATATACCTAAACCTAAACATATCAAAATACACCTATACTTACCCTACTTATAGTATTGAGTTATTCACAATTGTTTACGTAAGCCTGGACAGTTTATAAACATTTTTAAAAAGATTTGGTAATAATTTCTAATATTTTGATTTTATATTGAATAAACAAAAATAACTACTAGAAAAAGAAAAGAAAACTCTGTTTTCGCGATTTAGAGCGATAATAGTGTCGACGAACAAGGGTTAGTGTAAAACCGAATACATTAAGAATTTAAGACTATTAAAAGACATTCAAAAAGAGGTTTTTATATTTAAGATTATTTTTGAAAATTTAGTAATTACAGAATATATTAACTACTTACAGTTCGAATTTTAGTTTTGATGTAATTCTTAAAATAAATTGTAAAGTTTAAACACATAATGTTAAAAAAAAAAAAATTGTCACTTTAATACGCCCAACTAGGTACAGTCAAATTTTCAGAGGAAGCTTATCCATAGTATAATTATTATTACATATTTTTTTAAAAATAATATTGATGTATATTATTATAAAATGTTTGAAAAGCTTTGCTTCTAATAATCATTTCTCTCTTTTAAATTATGTACTTTTATATACTTGACGATGTTGGCAAGAAATATGTCTCGGGCGAACATAGATTTCCGAAAATATTTTAGCATTCGCGATGGTGGAAGGTGAACTAAATGATTTTTAGTTTATAACATTTTATAACATACCTGTAAATTCTAAACACTAATATACAATTTATTTGAAAAACTTGGATCGTAAATCGATCGAATAATGTCAATGGTGATATTTTCGAATATATTCGTAAAACCATGCCACGATTTCAACACATTTATTAGAACAATTTATTATAATAGTTCATAGTCAAAATTCAAGATTAAATATTACCATACTATGAGTTCATTGTGCAAAAATCGTTTATAATATACCTATTCTTTTATAGTTTTATAGTATACATAGATTCTTAAAATACGTTATAGGACAATATAATAATAATGTATCTATCGATTCGCTTACAAGTAATACAATTGTAAATTTCGTAAAAAAAAATATTGTTTCTATGAAATAAAAATTCAGTGGAAGTTGACCGATGATTTTTTTATTCGTACAAAAATATTTTACCTATTTTTTTATTGATTAGTTACTTCCAATGGTGGATTTAAGAGCTGGTCAGAGCTGCATGTCTCTCTATCACTGTAGTCCATTATAGTCTTACGCCTACAGGTTTAAATAAGCTAGACCATTTTTTAAGAGTTTTGACGTAAATCCAATTTTATATAATTTATAAACGCATACATCGCAGACGTAAGTCATATAACTAGAATAATTAGGATGTTAGTTTATGATCTTAAAAACATCAACGTATCAAACAAATTTTTGTTAAAATAATAAAATATCTAATTATATTTTAAAAATTTAAATCAATCAAATATTGTATAATGTATTTAAAATGTATTTAAAATGTTATTATTCATTTATTCAATCAAAACATATACTTAACCTATGAGCTGTGGGTGTGTATTTATAAAACCTCTGTACGCAATAAGTCTAATGAACATTTTTTATTTTTAAAAATTTCCTACGATGTATAAAAATAAAATATCGTTAAAAACAAAAAATATGCTGAATAAAATCCATACAACTGTGATAATGCGTCATACCATCATACCTAACAGATTTATAATTTGATTTGCAATGTACACGACTAAATAAAAAAATATATTACAGAGTGTAACAGAAAGACCTGACCAAAATAAAAATTATGCTCATTCAACGTATGACAAAAATTGTTAATATTTTATGATATAAGTAAATAATTTAGGAAATTAATTTAACCAAAATATTCTAAAAAATAAACTACTTGACTTAGATAAATATTCTTACCATCAAAATTATTCTTAGAATCAGATTCACAAATAGGCTATTTTGAATTTATAAAAAATAGTTTACTTAAATTTAAATTTTTTATTTTAAGTTCTGAAAAATAAATTCAAAGTAGCATATTTGTGAATCTGATTATAAGAACGATTTTGTTGGTAAAAAGATTTATCTAAGTCAAGTAGTTTATTTTTTTGAATTGTTTGATATTCAATATTTTTTTTTGGTTAAATTAATATGGAACGTACCTAGTAACTTTTTTAAAAATGTAACACAAATATATCTATAGTTTGGTAAAGGGATTGGAATCAGAGATTTTCTGTTTTTGTGCAACCATTTGAAACATTTAGATGTGTTTTAATTCTTACGTATCGACTGATGTAGTGAAATTATAAGAATTCTGAAAACCTATTTGAATTTTGTCGTCAAGTCCAATTGAGAATGATTTGTCTACAATTTTACTATTTTATTTTAAGTTTTATAAAAATTTAAGTATAACATATTTTTATCAATTAGGAAGTCCATTTTTAGTATGACTTAGCTTGGGGTTTAAGGATAAAAGATTTGAGGGTGTGTTTATTATTGCATAATACAGTTTTTATCATGCGTAAGCGATTATTCAGAGCAAGTCTTTTTATTCTTATATGGTGGGCCCAAGTAAGTAACCAGTTTTCCATAACGACAAGGTGATTTCGCAGATTTTGCAGATGCAGTGAGGGGATCATTGTTGGTGAAATCGCTTTATCGTCAGCATAGTCTGTTACTGAGGTGTTAATAAGAGTAGTTGATTTGTCTGATGTATAAATGTTATACAGAATAAGGGATAAAATGCCACCTCGTGTTTTCACCGGCGTTTATAGCTGCTATGTCAGAGAGAGTAGAGCTGTAGCAAATATGAAAATTACGTTCTGTGAGATACAATTTTATGATTAGATAGTAAGCAGGTGGAAGAAATCTTTTAGTTTATACAGGAGGCCATCATGCTAAACTCGATCAAACGCTTGCGAGATATCTAAAAACACGCACGTGTAATGTAATTTTTGTTCCATTGAATAGGAAATAGCGTCTACTAATCTATGCACTTGATGTAAAGTTGAGTGGGAAGCACGAAACCCTAGTTGGGTATCAGGCAGTACGTTATTATCAATAATGATGGGCAGTATACGTTTAAGAATTACCTACTAGTAACGATCTGCAGAAGCTTCCTTTGGTTTAGGGACTAATATTATAGTTGACAATTTCCAGAGTAGTGGGAAATACGAAAGTCTAAGATTTGCATTGTATATGTGTTATATATGGACGATGGCTCTTTTTCAGACACTTCTAGCAACTTCGGAAGTAATAAGATCGAAGCCAGGTGATTTATTGACGATAAATTTAAATCTATTTAAGAATTATCAACGCTTCACTAGATCAATAGCCAATATGTACGTTGGAATTAAAACATGTCTTAGAAGAATCATGCCTATACTAATTAATCCCCTTAATATTTTTAATTTTTACTCAAATATTTATTATTTTTTTTTAATGATAAATTAATTTTTTGGTAATTAGTTTTGTGATAAATCAGAGTTAATAATAACATACTTATTTACTTTATGAGCTCGTTTTTGACTTATTGTTTGAGTTTGAACCTTTAATTATAGAACGTGTTCCTTATAATATGCTTTTAAAATTATAATTAGGTACACGGTAATAATTATTATACCATTTATTATATGTCATATGATGATAGTGGGTACTTAAAATATATTGTTAGGTTTAATTTACACGTTTTTCTAAGTTCTTAGAAGTGTAATATATATTATTGAATGAATTACATTTTTATACCAACTAATAATAATTAATTTAATCAATGTTCAATGCACATATTTAAAATTGTAATAGGACTTACATCCGTATAATTGAATAAATAAATAACGATAAATAAATAAATAGTTATAAGATATCCGTTTTATTAATGACCTTAACAAGTTATAATGAAACTATTATTTCTAAATTTTAAAATATTAATTATTTCATTAAATAAACTATGTTTGATAATTTTAATACATATTATTGTGTACAAACTATTTATCATAATTCGAAATACTAACGTTTATTTACTTTAAATAATATTAAATTTATTTATTAATGAATTCAATTAAAATTATTAAAATAATATATTGTTTTCGTTAACTTTAGATGATTCTATTTCAATTAATTATAAGCAACTAGTTTTAATGAAATCCATTATTAATTGAAGCAATATCGAACATCAAAAAGTAATATATTAATGAACATTTTGATTTTAAGAAATGTTTTTTTCTGAGTGTCAATTTAACTATTTACCTGTAGAGTGTAGGCTATAGGCTGTATATGCTAATAAATATATATATCACTCTATAACTAAATTAAACAATTTAAAATGGATTATTAATATGAACAAGCGGTACCTTTTCTAATACATTAAAAATCAATAAATGGGCTCAATTTTTCCTTCTAAAAAACAAAAGTACTCTATGTACCTATAGGTACTATCTACCATTAATTAAATTCGATTTTACGATATCTACTTAAACTTGCTATGGCCGTGTAAATAAAATACGACTGACTCATTCTTAGTACTTACCATAAAAAGGTCAATTTAGGTCGAAGCTAATTCACTTTGTTTTTCATTGCGTATTGTAGTCCGCATCGTTTTTCGTCGGATTCAATATATACTTAATGTTTTGTATTTGAGTGGTTATATATTATTATATGCTAGGCATTGATTTTATAATATAAAATCAATGGCCGGACACACTAGAGTACGAAAGTTCGAAGTCCACACAGTGATACGAAACGGACGGCCAGGTTATTGGTTATTGGTGTGCATTGCTATACACGCGCGAGTACAGGATGGATGTGAACATGACGTTAAACGCCGCGTTTTTTATAAGTACGTGGTAAAAAATCCCGACATTCCACGGTTTTGCCGGAAGAGTTAACTAATAAGGCTAACTCCTTATAATTTTACATGTTGAGATGAGCTTATACACAATACACTGTCATATCTAATGTAGTTAAAAACGGTGCGTACGAAACGTGAAGGAAAACGTTATGCCTGCAACTTACAAAAAGCCTTGTGGGCCGTTGATTTTCAATTTTCCTTTAACCATATTAATAAATAATTTCTAGAAATTAAAAAATATTGATACACTTGTAATGTATATATATTATATTAAATATATATATATAAATTTCATATAATATATAACAATTAGTATTACACTTCACAATTCACATCATCGCTATTTAAAAACTGATAACCAAGTTGAATTTATGTCTAAAATTATAATACATTAATAAAAACTGTACCTACTCGTATTTTAAAAAAAAAAAAGCGGTGGTAAGTCGTGGATGTCGCTCTGCTGTACAGTAGGTTACAAGTGTGTTACTGTACTGGATGGAATTAAATTTGAATTCAATGATATTATATCATTGTATACGAAAAACAATTCTGAGCGGAGGCGGTTTATCTGTCTAGGATATATTATAGATTATTTTTATTAACAAAATAACATTTACAATCTGTACATAATAAAATACAATAAGCAAGTATGTTTACAATTATAATAGTTACTTTGGATACATGAGAAGGGAAGCTATCCAGTGATAGGACSCTTTTGAGTTGAGACGTTTAGGACATGGAGTGGTGTTTCAGTTTAGGACGTCGCGACACCAACGTCTTTTGAGGCGACGAGGGGGGTGACCTGAAATTGTGGCTGATAATAGATTATTAAAAATTTTCAAATCTTAGATTTAAAAGAAAATTTTTTATGAATTTCTAGCTTAAAATAATTTGCAAATTTTCGTGATTTTACGTATGTTGTCAAAATTCAAACTTGCTTGTAAAAAAAAAATTGTGACTATGTATTTCTTTTATTTTTCAACTGCTATTGTAACAATATGTTAAATGGCCTGATTTAAATTTTCAAGTTTTTCTACCCAACAAATACATTTTTATCGATATTAATTTAAAAAAAACTAATAATGATCGAAAATTGCATATGCCTATAAATAGTTCAATTTAAGTCGAAAATTTTTGAATATTAAACATATAACATATAAACATTTGGTGAAAATTTCATGTATCTATGGTCATTTGTTTTAAAGTTACATCAAAAACCAAAATCTATTTCGTCGAAAACTGATTGTGCGTAAAATATCCTGTTTTTCCCTTAATTTTTAGTTTGTTTATACCGATTATTTAGAAAATATTGAGAATTATTTATTTTTGACCTCCCAAAGTACCAAATAGATTCACTTTCTGATCTAACAAAGTACTGAAGTCGAAAATCGAAGCATTTTTATTGCCCAAAAACGTGATGACAGACACAAAAAAAAAACATCTTGATAAAATCAATACATTCCTCGCTCCGCTCAGAATCTAAAATTATAAATATTTTGATTTTGATATGCCTACCTTAAATTAGTTAGATTAATGATTTACAACAATTATACTCGTATATTTTGTATGTATAACGTATGCTTGTCATAAGGTTTTAATTTTAAATTAAAAGTTGTATAATATGTCAATTTTGATTTAATGTATCTTTTTTTAGAAACTCTTGCAGCCTTTCACATATATTATGCAAGTGCCTGGCAAACAAATCAGAGCTAAACTTGCTCATGCATTTAATTATTGGTTGAAAATACCATCCGACAAATTGGCAGTTATTGGAGATATAGTACAGATGTTGCATAATTCTAGTCTTTTGTACGTATTCACTTATAGAGTAGAAAAAAGTTTAACTGTAATTAAAAATAATTTGAATACATTATACATGTTGTGTAATATTTGTGTTTATTAGTTATCTAAAAACCTAAGTGAAGGCTAATGTATGAATTGCATGTATAATTTTAAGTTAAAATATGTATTAGTAATTAACCATTTTAATTATTTCAATTTAAAAATTATGAATTGAATAAATTAATTTTTGTAACTTGATGTAGTCCTGTGTTTACATTGTGTTTGGTATGCACTCTGAGCGTGTTGACCACTCAACATTTTTAGTAACAAAATTATTGCCATACTTAGGTACAATTCATGTTCCAAATCAACCGTTCTCCTCTATAAACAGCTAATGGCCATAGTTACCAGGTTAAGGATAAAAAAAAAAAAAAAGTTTTAAAATTGTATAGTGTGATAGTTTAACCAATGAAAATGTAATTTATTACATTTACAAATGATACCTTCTATATTATGGTTGTGTATCTGCATTAGTATAATTAATCATTAAAATAGTTATGAATAAATATTTTCCATAAATCGGTTAATAAATGTTTTTTATTTTACATAAGTCTCCGAAGATAATTATTACTTATTACAGTATTACTTACTCATTAATGATTACTGTACTTACATACATTTTAAAGTAAATCATGACTTACATAGGTATAAAGAAATATTTAGATATCGTAAAAATGTTATATAAGTTTCTTAATTAACTTGATATGTTGTAATTAGATTCTTATATACCTATATTATATATATTGCTCTAATATCATAAATCAATGTAACTAATTAATTGTCTTGATCAAAAAGAAAATATAATTTTATTTATAGTTGTATAATTATGTTTATTATTTTATCATTATATAATAATAAATATCAAGATCAAATTTTCTGTAATACCATAGAAGTATATAATATTGTAAATA